TCTTTGCACCTTCCTGTGAATCTATGACTTTTTTCAAATTAAAAAAAATTCGATTGACAGACAGAAAGAGAATACTCCTTACCTCTTCTTTTGTGGCATTTTCAGGCACCCCACTTAATCGAATAAGTCTGCTGGGCTTCTCCTCACTTGGGCCTGTCCTATAATCTTGATCCTTGAATTCAGAATGAAAAATTATCTCACAAATAAACATAATTTAGCGTGTAAGATACAACTTGAAATTCAGATTCTCAGGATAAAAAATGAAAATGACTTGCTTCATGTGAAGATAAGAAAAATTATAATTTTCTCCATTGTTCTGAGTTCCAAATTTTGGCTACAAATCATTGGGATACAAGTATGTGAAGGCCAAGGCTCACTCAGGAAGTCTTAAACAGTAAAGCGGAATGTTCAGAGAAACAACCTGGACTTTTTATAACCAGAAAGACAGGCTATATTAACAAAACTATCATTTTCTTTTCCTAAATGAGTAAATAGCAAAAAAAGAAATTCGAATCACATTTCATTTACCAAAAATTCCCTCTAGAAACGAACTTGAGAACAAGGTCAAAAGGTACCATCTGGGGACCAGCAGATGGCATAGCGGTTATGTCACTGAACTCCCACATGGCCGACAACGGGTAGAGTCCCAGACCCAGAGGCTTGAAACAGGCGAGACACGTGTGTGTGCACAAAATTCTACCAAGAGACTGGAGAAGGGACTGTGGCATGGCCAACCCCTTTGTGGGGGGTGGTGAGGTCTTGTTTCTGTCTCTCAGGCAAGCAAGCACGCCCTACAGCAAAAAACAATCTCTTTCTCAAAAAAGAAAGGTATCATCTGAACTTACATACATTATGACTCAGAGGTCTGTGTTTTTCATATTTACAAACATCTCACCTTCAACCAGCTTCCCTCCATTCCAAAAATTATAAAAAGGAATTAATAATACATGAGTAAGGAGCCAACAGGTGAAACAGTGCTTGAGGTACTGGATTCTCACATGGCTGACTGTGGTCCGAGTCCTGGACCTGGCAGCTTGCTTTCTTACTCCTCCCACACTGTGCTCTCTCTGGTCAAATTAAAATAAATAAGTAAAGATAAATGAATAATTACTAAAAATATGTATATATATATGAGTGAAAGTCTCCTATAACTACGTGGCCATATCTCCTACTTATGCCTATTGTCCAGGCATAATTTTCAATAGTGAGCTCTTGGGAACCAGCAGTTAGCGTAACAGCTATGTCGCTGGACTCTCACGCAGTCGACCGCAGTTTGCATCCTGGACCCGGTGGCTTAAAACTCACGCCGGGCGCGTGTACGTGCATGCCCAAGATCCCGAGAGGAGAATGGAGGAGAAGGGATTGTGGTGTGACCATCCCCCCTGGGGGGTGATTTCTCGCTTTTTGTCTCTATGTCTCTCTCTGTCTGTCTGGCGAGTGCACATGCCCTATAGCAAAAATCTCTCAAAAAAAGAAAAAAAAATTTTTAAAAAGTGAGCTCTTTTACTTTTAAAAGTATCCTGATTTAAACAGTAAATTATATGGTCATCCAACCCTAACAGTCCCAAAACCCTTAGTTTGGTCTTAGTTTTGTCTAAAATAACAGAAACTTATGTAGAGCTAGATAACTCTATAATTTTTGGGGGGGAGAAGTTTTTTGTTATCAAGTGTGTGCACTTCCAGAGAGACAAAGAGACAGAGAAAGAGAAACTGAGAAATCACCCCCGGGGGATGGCAACACTGCAATCCTTTCTCTTCTCAGGATTTTGGGCATGCACACACATACGCCCAGCTAAAGTATCAAGCCACCGAGTCTAGGACTTGAACTGCAGTTTACTATGTGGGAGGTCGGCACCTTAACCACTATGCCACCTGCTGGCCCCGATAAAATCTATTTTAAGATCCTACATGGCCAACCACATAGTCTGAATCCTAGCACCAACAGCTTGAAAAATAAATCAGGAATAGGACGAGCAGATGGTGTAATGGTTACTTCCCTGGACTCCCACGCAGTCAACGACAGTTCAAATCCCAGGCCCAGTGGATTAAAACTCATGCTGGGCACATGTGTGTGAATGCCCAAGATCCCGAGAAGAGAACCGAGGAGAAGGGATTGAGGCATGGCTATCACCCCAGAAGGTGATTTCTCGCTTTCTGTCTCTGGCGAGCACACACGCCCAATTTACAACAACAACAAAAAAAGACAGAAAAAGAAATCAGGCACAAATCTGTATGTGTGCATGCCCAAAATTCCAACAGGATGGAGAAATGGAGAAGCAATTACAGCACGACCACATCTAGCTGGTGGTGCTTCTCTTTCTCCCTCTCTCCTTCGTTTCTGGCAAAACAAGCAAACAAACCAATAATAATAATAATAATAATAATAATGAAAGAAAATAAGCCATATCACAAGACCTAACTTTGCAAGAGTGCAAGAATCAACTCCCAAAGACAGACACTTTTAAAGTAAATAATCCAAGGGCATTTAAGACAGCACCACAAAACAAATAATGATAAACACCATCAAAAATATGTATGGGACAGCCAGGTTGCATGGTGATTAAGGAGGTCGGATTCCACATAACCAATGTGTGGTTGAATCCCCACCCAGTGGCTTGGAAAACAAGGCAGGTGTGTGTGCATGTGTGCCCAAAATCCTGAGAGGAGGACGGAGGAAAAGGGACTGCAATGCAGCCACCCTGGGGGTGATTTCTTACTTTCTCTCTCTCCCCAGCAAGTGCACACACGCTGTAGCAAATTAAAAAGTGTGTGTATGTGTGTACAGATATATAAATAAAATGTGAACTGACGGTCCCTTCTCTGAAGACTTAAATTCCTGTGTTCCACTCCTACATATAAATTTAACAGTTGTACATGGAGAAATTCAGGACTGAAGATCCTGGATTCTATACCTCATCCTTCAGAAAAAGTAAAAGCAATCCATGCCATCAACATACCTGAAGTTCCCGTTGGGCATCTCGGCCAGTTTTGCCCTCTGAAAATGATTTGCTCTGCCCATAGCCAAACATCTGGCTCCCTGGTAGCCTGTGGTCCACGTCACGGTATTCCATGCTTCTGTAATCAGTGTCCTGCCGGCCAAGAAAGTCCAGACCACCTTCTTCTTTAAACAGACCAGCATCTGCATCCTGTTGTTCACCTCCAGAAAGCTGTGACTTGTCTTGGTCTTGGATTGGACTTTGGCTGTTCTGAAAGTCTGATGGAGACTCATGTTCAAAGGCTACGCCTTGTGCTTCTCCTTCTCTTGTTTCTGAATGCTCAAAATCTCCCTTCTGAACACCAAAAGCAGGCCTTTCCATGGTATGATCATGTTTGGATTCTTCTCTCTTGTTTGCACTTACACCAGAATGTTCTCTATCTTGTGTAGAGGGCTGAATGTAATCCACAATATTTGGATCCACAGGGGGCATCTCCCTATCTTTAAACTCTACACAAGGTCCCATCTCTCTGCTCCTAAAATCCTGATCAGTCCTGGACCGGTGCCTACCTCTGAAATCTGAATGTGGTGCATCCCTGTCCCTAAAGTCTAAACTTGAACCTCGGCCTCTAAAGTCCACCTGTGTTCCATCTTCATCCCTGAAGTCCAAATCAGACACATCTCTATTCCTAAAGTCAGAACGGGACTGATCTCTGCCCCTAAAATCCAAATCTGGTAAGTCCCTTCCCCTAAAATCTGTATGGGGCCCATCCCGACCTCTAAAATCTAAATCATAACTGCCCCGGCCCCTGAAGTCGGACGGAGCGTCCCTGCCTCCGAAGTCAACAGGGTGAGCATCCCTGTCTCTGTAGTTCATGTGCGGTGTCTCCCTACCCCTGTAATCCACAGGGGTACCATCTCCACCCCTGTAGTCCATACCTGGTCCTTCTCTATCCCGAAAATCCCCAGAATGTATGTCCCTACCCCTGAAGTCCAACTGTGATGACTCTCTGCTCTGGAAATCTGAAGATGAAAAATCTCCTCCCCTGAAATCATGTCCAGGCCCCTCCCCTCCTCGGTAGTCACCATGTGGTCCATCTCTAGCTCCATAGCTGAAAGAATGCTCCTCTACATTTGCAAAGGGAGGCCCCGAATGCCCCTGGAAATCAAAGGGGAGTGAATCTCTGCCAGGATAGTTGCCAGAGTGTCTCTCTTGAGCATGACTCTTAAGGGGAGGAGGAGGATAATCCCTGTTCCACCCGGGAGCAAACCTGTCTTCTTGGCTCCCACTGTAGAAACAAAGACAGTGTTACTCATATTGTCCAGAGAGTTTGAAATCTACACACCAGCATATTCTTCTCTAATCACAGCACATTCTTCTGTAAACATTTTTTTTTTTTGGCAGAGTTCTGTAACAAGGTCCTAGATCTGCAGAAAACAGCAAAGTTTTGCTATTTTTAAGACGAAGTGGTGGAGTAAACTTTTATGCTCCCATTTCAGGACACGAGGAAAGTCAACACAAGGTTTTCAACATGACTGCTGCAGAAAAAGCTTTCACCCAGTCCTGCAACAGGGAAAATCCGCAACACCAGATAAGCTAACAATGGTGACAGGCTACAAACTTTTCCATTTCCTATAGCCAGGGAGAACTTAGAATTCGAAGGTGAACAAGATCCCTATACATCAAGAAAATCAATGCATCTTACGGGAAGTTTCAGGAGGTGTCTTCTTACTGCTGTATCCAGGGACAACATTCCATGATACTTTATTACAGCTACAGCATGGACACCACTAACCAGATAGATGCAGGCCCTAAAGAAGAACACTGGTTGCAAATTACAAGCAGGAACACACCAGTGGTCACCAGCTGGGCACCAGGCCTCCCTGCATCCATCCCAGTTCCACAGTGACTCCGCCTAGAGGTGTTTTCACCCTGGTCCTATTAATGTAGGTACCCAAGGGATCACAGAAGGCAGCACAAGCCATGCCATAAAGCATGTGTAAATCCTCTAGGCCGGGCAACAGCATCCAGAGAGAGCGTGAGGCTTTCAAGCGTTATCCCCGTGCCCCAAATGGAGAAGCTGACACTCCAGGTTCTGATGCCTCACGCTAACTTTTCAAAGTAATAAAATGCATTTTTTAAAAACAGGCATTATATAAAATTCATATTCTCTTTGCAGAACTGAAGAACTAAATGAGAGCTGGCCCAATTTTTCATACTCTTCAACTTCTTCCCCTTGCTTCGTCTTCATAGCATTTTACATGTTTGGCTTTAGTTACTGATAGGGAATGTAAGTAGGCAATTAGGCGCCTGGCATTCTAGGTGGGGACATGTGGAAAAGGTACATGAGATGGCCTGAAGCTTATCTGCTACCTAGCAGTACACAAAAGCCTCAAGATGTCTAGACCAAGGCTCTTCCCTCCTCCCAGAATGTCGTTCTACTGCAAGACCCTTGCGAACTCAGACTATACCTCCCTAGTAAAATTCAATGGATGACTGATTCTGGGTCACTCGATTCAGGACAGTGACAATGCCAAAGCCTTTCTTAAAGTGGTAGGAGTTTAATATTAGCATAAACATGAGAATGATGAGCATTCAGTGGATTTTCAGAACACGAGGACTTCCACTGTTCCCATTAACATTACATGTCTTAATCCTAAGTGAGGCCAGTTTAAATGTTCTTTGTAAGTAATATAATTTAACACTAAAATTCAGGTGTTACCACAAACTAGTATTTCACATTCCTAATAACTTGCCAAAAGACTTAAGCCTCATCAGACACTCCTGGCATGAGGGCTGAGATATCTAAATTTACGTTTTCTTTACAGAATACAACTAACAGTCTTTTTTTTTTTTTTTTTAAGAGAGATTTTTGCTATAGGGCACGTGTGGTCACTGGAGAGACAGAGAGACAGAAAATAAGAAATCATCCCTCGGGAGCATAGCCACACTGCAATCCCTTCTCCTCCATTCTCCTCTTGGGATCTTGGACATACATACACACGTGCCCGGCATGAGTTTTAAGTCGCCAGGTCTGGGACTCGAACCACAGTCAATTACATGGGAGTCCAGTGTCATAACCATTACACCATCTGCTGGTCCCAACAACCAACAGTCCTCAGTACTTCCCTCAGGATTATTTTATCTTCCTAAATTAAGATCAAATAGATCTTGATTTAGGGTTCTTGAATCTATATTTTGTGTATACTACCCAAGAAAGAGTTCTATTAATAAAAAGTAGCAGAGACTATGAAAATCATTTTCAACTAAATAAAAGCAAATTTTAAAAAGAAGTTATTCAAAAAATATAAAATCATTTTCCATGAGATACCTTCTTGGTCCAAATCAGAAAAGGAATGCTATGTACTATGTTTTCCTTCTGGTCAAAGATCTTTAAAAACAGCATGGGGGAGCCAGCAGGACCAGTCCCCTGGCCTGATGGTTAAAGGAGTCAGATTCCACAAGGCTGACTGTTCAAATCCTGGTCCTGGTGGCTTTTTTTCCTAGAGGGCACGTGGGGTCACTGGAGAGACAGAGAGACAGAAAATAAGAAATCATCCCTCGGGAGCATAGCCACACTGCAATCCCTTCTCCTCCATTCTCCTCTTGGGATCTTGGACATACATACACACGTGCCCGGCATGAGTTTTAAGTCGCCAGGTCTGGGACTCGAACCACAGTCAATTACATGGGAGTCCAGTGTCATAACCATTACACCATCTGCTGGTCCCAACAACCAACAGTCCTCAGTACTTCCCTCAGGATTATTTTATCTTCCTAAATTAAGATCAAATAGATCTTGATTTAGGGTTCTTGAATCTATATTTTGTGTATACTACCCAAGAAAGAGTTCTATTAATAAAAAGTAGCAGAGACTATGAAAATCATTTTCAACTAAATAAAAGCAAATTTTAAAAAGAAGTTATTCAAAAAATATAAAATCATTTTCCATGAGATACCTTCTTGGTCCAAATCAGAAAAGGAATGCTATGTACTATGTTTTCCTTCTGGTCAAAGATCTTTAAAAACAGCATGGGGGAGCCAGCAGGACCAGTCCCCTGGCCTGATGGTTAAAGGAGTCAGATTCCACAAGGCTGACTGTTCAAATCCTGGTCCTGGTGGCTTAAAAGACACACTGGGAGTATGTACCTACATGTCTCAAATCCTGACAGGATGGAGAAATGGAGAAGGGACTCCAGCATGACTGTGCCTCATGGGAGGGTGATTTCTCCCTCTCCGTCTATCTGTCTGTCTTTCTCTGGCAAGCAAACACATTCTCTAGCAAAAATTTTTTAAGAAGATCTTTAAAGGGCCAGTAGGTGGCGTGGTGGTTAAGGATGCAGACTCCCACATGGCCAGGACAGTTCAAGTCCCAGATCTGGTAGCTTGTTTCCTTTTTCTTTTTCTTTTCTTTTCTTTTTTTTTTTTTTTTTTTTTTGAGAGGTTTTTGCTATAGGGCACATGTGCTTGCCAGAAAGACAGAGATAGACAGAAAGACAGAGATAGAAAGCAAGCAAGAAATCACCCCCCTAGGGGGGATGGCCACACCACAATCCCTTCTCCTCCATTCTCCTCTTGGGATCTTGGGCACGCAAGCACATGCACCCGGCGTGAGTTTAAGTCACTGGGTCCAGAACTCTAACCGCAGTCGGCTACATGGGAGTCCGGTGACATAGCCATTACACTAACTACTGGTCTCAGGTAGCTTGTTTTCTCACTATCCCTTTCTCTCTCACTCTGTCCCTCTCTGGTCAAATGAAAACAAACAGACAAAACTAAATTTCAAAATTATTAAAAAAACAAACAAACAAACAAACTTTAAAAATAGCATGAGAGGGGCCAGCATGTGGCATGGTGGTTTAAGGGCACTGGATTCCCACATAGCTGACTACAGTTCAAGTCCTGGACCTGGAGGCTTGCTTTTTTGCTTTCCTTTCTCTCTTTGTCAAATTAATAATAATAATAACAACAGCAAAAACAAATGGAAATAAATTAATTCTTTTTTTAAAAAAAATAGCATGAGGGGGACCAGCAGTTAGCGTAATGGCTATGTCGCTGGATTCCCATGTAGTCGACCACGCTTCGAGTCCCAGCCCTCCTCCCTGGGAGGCGATTTCTCGCTTTCTGCCTCTCTGTCTCTCTGTCTTTCTGGTGAGTGCACGTGCCCTATGGCAAAAGCCTCTCTAAAAAAAAAGAGGAAAAAAAAAAATAGCATGAGGGAAGCCAGCAGGTGGCCCTGGACTCCCACATAGCCAAGCACAGTTCAAATCCCAGACCTGAAGGCTTGTTTTCTTATTTTCTTATTTTCCTCTCTCTGTCTCTGTGTCTTTCTAGTGAACACACATGCCTATAGCAAATTTTTAAAAGAGAATAATAATAAATACAATTAACTAAGTAATTTTTTAAAGACTTATTTTATTTAACTTTATTTATTTTCATTTGACCAGAGAGGAACAGAATGAGAGAGAGGGAAAGTGAGAAAGCAAGCCACCAGGTCTGGGACTCAAACCACAGTCAGCCATTTGGGAGTCCAATGCCCTTAACCACCATGCCGCCTGCTGGCCCTAAATAAGTAATTTTTTTAAAACCCCAGCATGGGGCCAGTTGTGTGGCCTGGTGGATAAGAGCGCTGAAGCCCACATGGCCAACTATGCAGTTCAGATCCCAGCCCCAGGGGTTTGGAAAACACTCCAGACACATGCACCTAATGAAGGAGTGGGAACTGCAACATGACCATGCCCCAGAGAGGTGCTTTCTCACTTTTTGTCTCTCTCTCCCTGTCTCTCTCCAGCAGGTGCATGCACCTTAGGACAAAAATTTTTAAATAAATTAACTAATTTAATGAAGGCAGGATATAAAACTTTAAGTAAATTTAAATATGTCAAAAATATTCTCAGACCAGCAGATGGCATAGCAGTTACAAAGCTGGACTCCTCCATGGCTGACTGTGGTTCGAATCCTGGACTCAGTGGCTTCAAACTCATGCTGGGCACATGTGTGTGCATGCCCAAGATTCCAGGAGAAGGGAGAAGGGACTGCAGTGTGGCCATCCCCCCCAGGGGATGATTTCTCACTTTCTGTCTTTCTGGAGAGGGCAGACGCCCTATAACAAAAATCTCTCAAAATTTTTTTTTTTTCTGAGGACCAGCAGGTGAACTGGTGGTTAAGGCACTGGATCCCATATAGCTGATCCCACAGTTTGAGTCCTGGACTGGGAGGGCAGCTTGAAAGACACATTGGACATCTGTATGTGGGTGCCCAAAATATCAAGAGGAGAATGAAGATGGGATTGGAGGCATGGCAATCCCCCTGGGAAGTGATTTTCACTCCCCCCCCCTCCAGTGAGCACATGTGCCCTATAGCAAAAAGAATAATAAATAAATAAATAAGGCAGATAGTAAATATATTTGGCTTTGTGGGTTATATGGTCTCTGAAACGACTATTCAACCCTGCCACTGTAGCATGAATGCAACCACAGACAATGCGTAATGAACAAGCGTGGCTGTGTTCCCATAAAACTTTACTATCAATAAAACAAGCTATAACCTCTAGTTTGCTAGCTCTGATCAACACCTCTTAGTATTTTGAAGGGAAAAACTTACCCAGCATCACCACCACTGTTTTAAAACCACTAAGCAGAAAGTTAATATCCTATCAGCATTTATGAAAAGCCAGTTTTACCAAACGTTATATTAATTTTCTGAATTCAGTTCTCTACCTAAACTTTTTCACTGGAACCCCTAGGCTTCAGAATAATGAAATAGAACATTTACTAAATTTAATAATAAAGTCTTACAGACTGCCAGTCATAATGCAAATCTACTAATGATAGAAGTTTCAATTGAAGCATCAATACTTTTGAATGCATAAATTTAAAGGCCAGATTTCTTTGTCATATACCAAGTAAAATCATAAAAACCACATTTACAGCATTTCGTTAATTGCAAAAACACTGCAAAAGTTTAAAAAATACTATCATCAATGAACAATACTGTCTATAAAAAAATTAACTCCTATAAATCTAAAATATAATCTATATTCAAAACAAAATGCTACTACCTCTCCACTCGTCTTTACATCCAATACTCCCAAACTGAAATGTAGCTCAGAAAAACTACGTCGGCAAGCTACAGGCAAAACATAACTGCGGCTTCTAGACATGCTTAGTAAAACTTTTATAAATATGTACGTGCATTCTGCTAGCTTACATTACTAGTAAAGTATGTATCATTTTGCTAAAAGAGATCAAACAAAAAAACCTGGGGATATTTTTAATATTTAAACAAAGTGTTGGGGCCAGCAGGTGGCATGGTGGCTAGGGTGTTGAACACTCCCACATGGCCAACCACAGTTTGAGTCTCAGACCTGGTGGCTTGTTTTCTCTCTCTCTGTGTGTGTGTGTGTGTGTGTGTGTGTGTGTGTGTGTCTCCTTCTGGTCATATTAAAATTAATGAATGAAGGGATAAGTAGTTGGCATAATGGCTATGTCACTAGATTCCCATAGAGTCGACCACAGTTTGAATCCTGGACCCGGTGGCTTAAACTCACACCAGGCATACGTGTGTGCATGGCCAAGATCCCAAGAGGAGAATGGAAGAGAAGGAATTGTGGCATGGCGATCTCTTCTGGGGGTGATTCCTCGCTTTCTGTCTCTATGTCTTTCTGGCAAGCACATGTGCCCTATAGCAAAAATCTCTCTCTAAAAATAAAATTAATTAATTAATTAATAAGAATTTTTTAAAAAGTGTTACAAAACACTCAGCATGCTGGATATACAACCTCAAATTGAAAACAATGTCTAAAAAATTTTAAATAGTTTCTAATTAAAAAAAAAAGGTCAGGGCCAGCAGGTAGCACGGAGGTTAAGGTGCTGGATCCCACGTGACCGACCACGTGGTCTGAATCCCAGACCCAGTGGCTTGAAAATCATGCCAGGCATAGGTGTGTATGGCCCAAGATCCCAAGAGGAGAACGGAGAAGGGACTGTGGCATAGCCATCCCCACAAGGGTGGTGATTTCTCACTTGCCCCCTGTCTCCCTGATTCTTTCTCTCTCTGGTGAGTGTACATGCCCTACAGCATTTTAAAAAAAAAGGGAGGGGTCTATAGGTTAAAGGTGCTGGACTCCCACATGGCCAACCGTGGTTCAAGTCCTAGCCCTGAGGGCTTGCTTTCTCTCTCTCTGTTTCTCCCTGGTCAAAGTAAAGTAAATTATATCAAGTTAAATAAAATAATTCTTAAAAAAAATAAATAAATAAAGATCCAGGCTCAGTCCCTAAGCCTTGTAGTTAAGGAAACCAGATCCCACGTAGCTGAGCACAGTGTGAACCCCAGCCCCAGTGGCTTGAAGAACACACCAAGAATATGTGTGTGTGTGTGCCCAAAGTCCCAAAAGAATAGAGAAATGGAGGATGAGGGACCACACGCTACTGGGAGGTGCTTTCTTCGTCTGTGTCTCCAGTGAGTATAGACACCCTCCGGCAATTAGAAAAAAATCCCAGTCACGGTGGCACGGCAATAGCTCAACACTTTGCAATGCTGGAATTCATATGAAAAATGGGGGCTCGGTTCCTGGGAAACACGCACACACCTGGCATGTGGGCTTGCCCATGGTCTGGCTGTCTGAAAGGCTGGGGCGGGGAGCACAGCATGAGACCCCACTGAGAGCGTATATCTAGTCCCCCTGCTTCTCTCTCTCTTTCTGTCTCTCTCTCATAGAAAGAAATAAACTTAAAAAAAAAAACAAAAACAAAAAACAGAGCTATTTTTCCATAAAGAAAACATCTTCCTTTATGGCAACTCCAAATGTTATTCTATATATTTATCATTAAAACACTGAAAATTTTAATGTTCAGATTTCAGGACTTACCGAAAAGGCCCTGTTCTGTTAGCAGATCGAGAATCACCCCACATTTCTTTCTATGTCAAGAGGGTTCAAAAAAAAAAATAGATCCGTTTTCTACCAAACTCTGACTATAGCAGTACCTGTACAAAGGAGAAAAAAAAAAGGCATTTAAGAACATGGAATAACGAGTAAACTAGTTTTCCCCCACTTAGTTTATCAGGAATACTCCTGGCAGTTTTAAACATTTACATATTAATTTATAACAAGAAAAACACACTTTTTTCCTTAAAGAATTATTTATTTATTTAATTCCATTTATTTATTATTTTTTAAATTTGACCAGAGAGACAGAGAGAAAGAGAAAGGGAAAGTGAGAAAGCAAACCACTAGGTCCAGGACTCACACCACGGCTGGCCATGTGGGAATTCAGCGCTTTTAACCACCATGCCACCTGCAAGCCCCAGAAAAATACATTTTTTCAAAAAAACTTATTTATTATTGGGACCAGCAGATGGTATAATGGTTATGTCGCTGGACTCTCATGTAGTTGGCCGTGGTTTGAGTCCCAGACCCGGCAGCTTGAAAGTCACGCCAGGTGCGTGTGTGTGTGCATGTGCAGCAGGACCTTTGCTGCAGGTACTGCAGGAGGTGAAGCTTCATGACCTTGGATTTGGCAATTACTCCTTAAATACGACACCAAAAGCACAAGGAAGGAAAGAAAGAAGTAATAAAGTGTTTGTTTAGATTTCTGCCATCGAGTGAGTGCACTCACCAGAAAGACAGAGAGAGAGGAAAAGTGAGAAATCGCCCCACCCGGCACAGGGTGGGGGGGTAATGGCCACACCACAATCCTTCTACATTCTCCTCTCAAGATTTTGGGCACACACGCACACAACCCTCAAATCACTAGGTCTGGGGCTTGCTTTTTTCTCACTTTTCCTGCTTTCCTCCCTCTTTCTGGTAAAATTAAAATATAAATGAACGAATAAGTAAAAAATAAAATAAAATAATTCTTAAAAAAATAAAAGAATATACACATAAGAAAATGAGAAGAGAAACAGCATCTTGTTACCAAAAATATCAACTAAATACAAAAGAAAGCAATAGAGGTGGGGCCAGTGGGTGGCATGGTGGTTGAGGTGCTCCCACATGGCCAACCCCAGTTCGAGTCCCAGACCAGGCAGCTTGCTTTCTCACTTTCTCTCTCTCACTGGTGAGCATATGTGCCCTATAATAATTAAATGATAATAATTAATTAATTGATTTAATTTAATAAATAATAAAATTAATTAATAAATCTAAACAAAGACGAAAATAATGGAAGAAATGTAGGACAAAAAGCTACAGGACATATAGAAAGCGAACAGTAAAATGGCAGAAGTTCTCCCTTAACAGTAACTACTTTAAATCCAAATAGTCAAAAGATGAGACTGGGGGAACGGATTTTTTTTTACTTTGTAAAATTTTCTTTTTAAATTTGCTATAGGGAGTGTGTGCTTGCCGGGGAGGCAGAGAGCGCGAAAGCAAGAAAACACCCCTATGCTATGCCATAATCCCTTTTCCTCCATTCTCCTGTTTGGATTTTGAGCACACAAGCATAAGCACTTCACCTGTTTTTCAAGCTGGACCCCGGATTCATACCATGCTGTCAGCCATGTGGGATCTAGCCTGCCTTAACCAGTATAACACCTAGCTGGCCCCGGAACTTTTTTCTTCCTTTAGCTTTTCCTATAGGGCATGTGTGCTCATCAGAGAGAAAGTGAGAAATTATCCCACAAGAGGAACGGTCACAACGAAATCCCTTCTCCTCTAGCCTCCTCTCAAGATTTTGGGCATGCACAGACACACACCTACCTGATTTCCTGTTTTGTTTTGTTTTGTTTTGTTTTTAATAAAGAATTATTTAATTTCATTTATTTATTGTTTCTCTTCAACTTGACCAGAAAGAGAGAGAGGGAAAGAAAGGGAGAATGAGAAACCAAGTTGCTAGGTCCAGGACTCAAACTGTGGTCAGCCATGTGGGAGATAGTGTCTTAACCACCATGACACCTGCCAGCCCCTCTTTTTTTTTTTGTTAAGAGACTTTTTTTGTGTTTTGGGTTTTTGTGGGGTTTTTTGTTTGTTTGGTTTGGTTTGGTTTTTGTTGTTTTATATAGGGCACGTGTCCTCGCCAGAGAGAGAGAGACAAAAAGTGAGAAACCGACCCCCATGTGGGATGGCCACGGGGCAATCCCTTCTCTATTCTCCTATCAGGATTTTGGAGACACGCGCACACACATCTGGCGTGAGTTTTAAGCCTCTGGGTACAGGACTTAAACCACGGTCGACTACGTGGGAATCCCACAACGTAACCATTATGCCATCTGCTGGTCCCACCTGCCTGATTATCAAGCCACTAGGTCTGGGATTCCAACCGTGCAGCTGGCCATGTGGGATCCCGTGCCTTAACCTCCACAACACCTACTAGCCCAGAACAGATTTTGATAAGTGATCCAATTTCATGCTGTCTATAAGTGACTCACTCTGGATACAAAGACTCAAATAGGTTGACAGTGAGAGGACAGGAAAAGATCATTCTGGGGCCAGTAGCTGGCATGGTGGTTAAGGCACTAGATTCCCATGATGGACCACGGTTTGAGTCCCAGATCCAGCAGCTTGAAAATCACACCAGGCACATGTGCATGGGTGCCCAAATCCCAAGAGGACACTGGAGAGAAAGTACTGCAGCATGGCCATCCCCTCAGGGGGTGAGTTCTCATCTCCTCTCACTCTATCTCTGTCTCAGCAGTGCGCACATGCACTCTGCGGCAAAAACCTAAACAAAGGACATTCCGTACAAAGAGTAACCAAAAGAGAGTTGAGGTGGCTGCACAAATATCAGACAAAATAACCTTTAAATCCAAAAAGGTTATAAGGAGAAGGGACTGCAGCATGGCCACCCACCCTGGCGGATGATTTCTCACTTTCTCTCTGTCTCTCCAGTGAGTGCATGTGCCCAATAGCAAAAATCTCTAAATAATAATAATAAAAAATAAGGGAATAAAGCTTCTCCAGTGTAGGTCACCACCCTGTAAGGGGAGAACTATGACGGATTGTGTTCAAGCTTCCTCCAACTTTCACTCCTCCTTGTTTGCTCCAGTTTGTTCTTACTGTGGTAAAACACACAGAACATGAAACTTGCCATCGCAACCATTTTTTAAAGAATTATTTAATTAATTAATTTATTTATTTATTTTAATTTGCTATAGGGCACATGCACTCACCAGAGAGAGACAGAGAGAAAATGAGAAAGCAAGCTGCCAGGTCCAGGACAACTTTGGTTGGTCATGTGGGAGTCCAGCGTCTTTATCTACAATGACACCTGCTGCTCCCCCACCTTGACCATTTTTAAGTGTATATTTTAGTCTTATTAAATACATTCCTACTGTTGTACAAACATCAACACCGTCCATTTCTACAGCTCTTTCCATCTTGTAAAACTGAAACTGTATGTATTAACAAAGGCGTCCCATTCTCCCCTCGCCCGGTCCTTGGCAGCCATAATTCTAATTCTACTTTCTGTAATCCTGACGACTCTGAGGGCCACATACAAGTGAAATCCTACAGTGCTTGTCTTTTTGTGCCTATTACTTCCCTTAGCATGAATCCTCAAGGTTCATCCATAACCAATTTCACAATGTCCTTTCTTTCCAAGGCTGAACAGTATTTCATTTTATGTAAATACCAAACTTTGTTTATCCACTCTTGTCAATAGACACAAGCTGTTGCCTCCTTTAGCTATCGTGACTCATGCTGTTATGAATATGGGTACAGATATCTCTGAGACTGGGCTTTCAATTCATTTCAGTAACCAGGAGCGGAATTGCTGGATCATATGGTAATTCTATTTTCAATTGTTTGAGAAACTTGCACATTGTTTTGCCTTTTATCCTAGATTAATAAAAACATACTTGGCAAATGCCTTCACTCTGGTCCATCTTACACAAGTCCAAGAATGTCACCTCTAGTGGCACAATAACAGTGCCCCAGGCCATCCCTCTTAGTCATAACTTCAGCTCCCAAAACCAACAAAAGAAAGAACTAGGGGTCCTATTCTATTAGGTTTAGCTGTAACATGCAGCAGCTTGACTATTTATTTCCAAGATAAATATTGTGGGCCCCACAGAACACTCAGCTAAGAACATCAAGAAGACACTAAGAGCCAAAGATTGCTGTGACCTCCTACACACTCCCAAGATCCAACTATGAGCTTTTCAATAGCCATACGCAAAAAAAAAAAAAAAAAAAAGAGAGAGAGAGAGATTTTTGCTATAGGGTACATGCACTCACGTGAGAGAGAGAGAAACAGAAAGTGAGAAATCACCCCCTGGGGAAATGGTCACATTGTAATTCCTTCTCCTCCATTTTCTTGGGACTTTGGGCAGGCATGCATGCACATAAACCCAGTATGAGTTTCAAGCCCCAGGTCAGGGACTTAACCCAAGGTCGGCCATGTGGGAGTCCAGCGACCTAACCATTACACCATCTGCTGGTCCCTAAAAAAATAGTCATACATTTAATACATGCCTTTAGAGCAGGAATTAGTGGCTGCTGAAAGCACCCTACTCCCTTGAAGAGTCCTGTTTTAAAATTTTAAGTATACTCATTCTAATAACAAGGCCTTGAAAGAGTTGTTTCAAGGCCAGCAGGTGGCATGGTGCCCAAAATCCCAAGAGGAGAATGGAAGAGAAGGGACTGCAGCATGGCCAGCCCCTGGGCAAGTTTTCTCATTCCCTCTCCATCTCTTTCTGTCTCTCTCTGGTGAGTGCATGCACCCTATAACATATTAAAACAAAACAAAAACCATACAGTTTCTAAAAGAAAATATAGGAGAAAATCTTTCTGAGCATGATGTCAGCAAAGATTTCTTAGGTTCCAGAAAGCACCAACTATAAAAGAAAAAGATCCAAATTAAAATCTGGCCTTCAGGCCTGGCCACAGTGATGGAGTGCACAAAGCTCCGCAGTGCTGGGAGTCACATGGAGTATTACAGCATGGTTCCTGGGTTGATCTACCTGCTGGTCCCACATGCATGCCCAAGATCCTGGCTGGCTAGAAGGTGGGGGTGGAGGAAACAACACAGCATGAGACCCTGTTAAGGGTGTTTGGTACCCAACCCCACCATGAA